CACGGATAGTCGACAGAACACCTTTAGCCGGCTTTAGCGTGTTTGTCAAACGCATCGGCGAGAGCAAGGCGCGATAGCTAAGAAATTAGGGGAGACTGGGGCGAGGGGGTGGGGTGCCCGCGGCATTTTATTGAACTGCTGTGTGGTTATTGAACTAACAAAAACAAAAACCTTTCCGACCTTGCAGCATCGTCTGCCCAAGCTACGGAAACGAACGTGAACGACGAGGAGGTGGACGATTATGATCCAAAAAATTGTCACTTTTTTCAAGAAGGGAGGTGCAAATACAATGATCCTAATTACAGAGCACCAACGAAAACCCAATGGATCGGTTGTGAATTTCCAGAATGCGATAACTGGTTTCACGAATCGTGTCTTGGGTTGAAATTCGCAACAGAATTGGAAAGAGACAGTTATGCATTTGTTTGCAAGTTTCATGATAGAATCAGTCATCATGACCGTTTTAAAGACCGCATTACTGCCTCAGGTTCAGATCAGACAATGATAACAGGAGAGGAAGAAGGAACCCCAAGCGAAGGGAAAAGGCTTAGAAGATCAGCCTACCATGAAGGGTCATCATTTGAAACGGAGAGCCCCATACCACCGAACTATGTCGAGTATGAAGGGGAGTATTACCATATAGCTCAATTTCTGTCGCTTCGACAAGGAAAGGTTTACTCCCCGTCTACCTCTCGTATGGCAAGGTGGATGGCAGTCGCAAGAAGCTCGTTTTATGAGAAAGTGGAAAAAATTGTATCACCCGAGAAAACCGAGAACGGATTATACTTCAACGACATTGCAGCATTTTGGGTGCCACGCTTTGGATTAAGGTGTGGTGAGGTCTTGCGCTTTGTTCGCAAGACTTCAGCGAAATCTGCTGTCCCAGTGTTTGAATGGAAGAAAGAGAAAAAACAATCGATGGAAAAGATTTCTGTTTGTTTTCGCGTACTTTCCTTTAATAAAATTGAAGATACAAAGTTGCGTTTAGAAAAAACAACTGACATTATGTGGGCAGAATGTGACGCCCACTTAATGACATTCCCTGTCCCTGATGCAAAAACGAGAACATGGCCCCTTACTGTTGATGGAGAACCTTTAGAAAAAATACTGCCCCAACTGGAGAAAGCTGAACAAGAAAGGATGCTCCAGGAAGAAAAAGCTAAGGCACAGGAAAAAGAGAGACTCAAAAAGGGGGAGCCTGAGGACATGACAGTACGCCTCTTACGAGAGGTCCTAGATGAGATGAATATTACCTACAAAGCAAGTGACAAAAAAGCTAGTCTAATAGCTAAAGTACGTGAAGCCCGTCAAAATTTACAAGCAAACACATTTTCACGTTCGGCTCCTAAATATCATCAACCAGAAGGCGGAAGAGCAAAACATGAACAATATTTTACATGGGATTTGAACAACAGAGCCTGCCGATTCGTGCCGTTTTATTACGACGACAGAAAGGAACGTCTGTTAAATTTGCTTTTGTACTTATTGTTTTTATTACTGGTCATTGGAGTGTATTTACATATACTCCTTTTTCAACAAGCGCTTTGCTTAGTGATGTTAGTATCCATGTATCAGTATTGTCTATCGCGTGTTATTCCTGAGTTCTTTCGTATGTGGATGGAAGTTCTTTCTGCCTGTTTGTACGCCAAAGTCAACGTAGAGGAAATTGCTAATAACTGTCACTGATTGAACTAACACAACACTGAACACAATCTTACTGAATCAGCCGATTGTCCGTCGTATCGCCAGTCATACCGCCTGCATACTGTGAAAGACTCTGTTTTGAACAGCGTTTGTGCCATTCTCAGCATTTTTATCAGTTTGATATGAAGTTACTGTTACTGTTACTGTTACTGTTGTTTTGTTACTGTTGTTGTTTTACTGTTGTTTTAAAAGATATGAAATACAATGTAGATAGTAATTAACGTCAATTTTTAAGGTGAATCATTTCTTCGTTTCGATACCCGCGAGAAGAATATATATGTTCATGTCTTACAGTGTTTCACAGCGTCAAAAAGGTTAGGAGAGACAAATAAAAGATTGTTCAAACAAACTTCATTAAAATGGAATCTTTTAGCGGGAAACCGGTTGTTTCGCTTAGTAGTTGTTTCGCTAACGAACGTCTTAGGTTAGTTCGCTAACGTATATTCTTCGTTCTATAAGCGTGAACAGTACCTTTTCTAGCCCAATATTATCGATCGAAATCGATACTAATCGAACGAGATCGATACTAATCGAACGAAATCGATACTAATCGAACGAAATCGATCAAATCGATAATCACAAAGAATCTGGCGATCGATTTTTATCGATTTCCGATATTAATCAATTGATTAGTATCGATGTTTATCGATGTTTATCGATTTTGATCGAGTATCGGAATTATCGATGTGTTACGCCCTGTTTGTTTGTTTGTTTGTTTGGTTTTTTTATGTTAAAGCTTTTGCAATACTGTAACTACATAATTATAGTCATGCAAATAAAGCTTATATTGTTGTTGTTGTTGTTGTAAGTGGGTATAGGAATAACCGCGATAAAGACTGAAAGAACGCAAATTCAGTTTTTAAGCGACGTTCTCGTTGCGGTCGCGTCGTTGGATCTTAAAGTCCCTACTATCATGAAAAGGACCGTCCACACAAATCCGGACATTTTTGAAACCGCATTTACAGGGTGTTTCAAAAGTTCGTTCCGATGGTAAATTGTACTTTTTGCATAGCATTTAATATTCTTTTGGCAAATGTAAACTGATTCAGGTACGAAATTTTTTTTAAATAACTGTTCAAAGCAATTTCAAACTAAAATTTGAAGAAAATATGACATTTTTTAATTTTTGCTCAAAATGTGCCCGTACACGAGTTTTTTTCCCGCAATATTTTTCCTGCCTATTTTGTAGGTTTTCTGTTTTCGTATTTCTGCCGTTTTCTTTTATTTTCTCTCTTTCGCAAAAATGAAGGCGTACACTGTTTGTGCTACTGCTCAGGCATCTATTTTTACGATATTCTGGGCATTTAGTCAAAGAAATTGCCAAATTGTTGAAGAGGTCTTAACAATGAGTGAACAGGTGGTCAAAAGTAAAGGCGTTAGAAGACAAACCAAGGAAACTCCAAGGAGTAGGTGGCCGTTGTTTTACAAACTGTGTAAGAAATCTTATCGAAAAAGCTGTAAGTATATGCGTAATAATTCAACAAGACTGAAAGGTAAAAAAAAGCTTCAACTTAACAATATCAAAGTTTCAAACACAACAGATGGGAGATATGTGACCAACAAAGGTTGGAAAGCCTTGAAGAGAAAAAAGGTGGTGCACACTTCATGCAGGCATGGCATCAGAAGAATTTGCAAACTGTAATTATACCAAAGGACGACCAGCCGGCAAATTCACGTGATATGAACACTCTAGAGACCATCTGGATTATCGTTGATGAGACAACATACAAAGATTCAGCCCCCAAAACACTGGACGAACTAAGACAGCGATTACGCTTCGCCTGCAAAAATGTGAATATAGACACGCTTTGGGAGCTCGTACATTCTATNGACTCGGTTACCCCGGTACAATATAAGTCAATTACTTTTCGGTTTGAAGAAAAAGGAAACCAAAGACTTCCCTCAACACTATGTATCTATAATAATTACGCCAGGAATATATATATTTTTAACACTTGAAGGTTGTACCATCTTGTTGAAGCAAAGGATATTTCTCTGTAATACCTATAAGCTTACATTAAGTTTCCATAAATAGCAAAAAAAATTAATAAGATTTACATACAGCTCCAAACATGTACATATGTTATGCATGAAGCAATTTCATATCGTTCCATATCAATAGTTAGTGCGAATGGAGTCAAACATGTACAGTGAAACTTGTATAATTTAAGCGGACACCTCAGAGAATGCTGTAGTGCCCAATTGATACAAAGTTTCTTCCTACAACATACAGGTTTCGATAGAAAATGTCATATGAGGCAGACCTGCCAACTCTCACAATTCTGCCGTGAGTCTCACGATTTTTAAACTTTTCTCACGATCTCACAACAAGACTCCCAATCTCATGGTTTTCTGGGAAATATTCTAAATTGAAATATTACCTTGTTGAATAAAAACATAAATTTTGTGGGGAAATTCTTGTGCCTGGATAAGCTTTGACTATTTTAGCCATGAAGTTGTTTTAGCCCAAAGAAATGACTCTGCTGTATGTTTCATCATGCAGTGATAACCTATTTTCTAGCCCCTTAAAGCCATCAAAGAAAAGCAGCATCTAATTTGTTACATAAGGGACCACACTAAAGCAAGGTTAACAGTTGATTCCCCTAATGGAAAAGCGGTCGTTTAATTTTGATCTGGAAAAAATAGAATCTCACTACTTTTTGTAGCGTCTCCCGATTTTTTTTCGTGAGTCTACAGCTTTTCCTTTATCAGGGGTTGGCAGGTCTGTATGAGGAGCTAAGTACCATTCAAATAAAAGGCGGAAACATTTGGAATACTTCCAGAGATATGATGATATCATTTGCATTAATATCTTTATTTGTGCGGAGCAATTAATTAAACCTAGATTGTACCTCAAATTTTAAGATATCAAATGAGTGAAACAAGCTTTATACAAACAAAAATGAAATGAGAAAGTACTGTAACTCATTTATATAATTTACAGAAGTCCCCTGGTGACACCAGCCAAGTGCTGATGGGGCAAGACTCCCAATCTCATGGTTTTCTGGGAAAGCAAAAGGCATCTTAAAATAACAAAAGGCACATAGGGCTCAGCCGAATGGTACCATAATGACGTCAACACGTATGGAAACAGGCCTTTTCTCCAAAACCCGCCCCATTCCCCTATGGCTATTTTTATTTGTGTTTACCCTACCTCACCTCCCCCCCCCCAATACCTGATGAGCTCATCATATTTTATTATCGTAGAGACAGGGGTAAGATAAGTTAACAATAATAGACAGATTGTTATAGGTGGGTTACTCATATTTACAGCTATCCCTGCAAGAAGAAATGGAAGTAAGGAGCTGACTGGCAGCCACTGAGATTGAGGAGAGGAGAAAGGAAATTGAAAGAGAAGAGAAAGAGTTGAAAGGAAAAGAAGAAAGGTTAAAACAAAAAGCAAAATAAATTAAAAACACAGTAATAGAGGCCAAGCGGGTAGCTGCCCAACCTGCAACTAATGGCAGGGCAGCTAGACTGCTTGGCTAACCAAATTCTAGAAGAGACCAAAAAGTTAAAGAAGAAGTAAAAGAAAAACACCAGTGTAAGAAAATTTTATTGGTAACAAACCGTTTCTTTTAATCAAAGTCAATGTGCAAAGTTTTTAAATGTAAACAAGTCTAAGTCAGACCTGTTATGCAGGAAAGAAATATATAAAAAATAAAAGGAAACTGGTTCTTCTAATTTCTTGTATCCTGTATGGTCTCTTCTTGCCTCAGGGAATCCACTCCATCTAACATCCTCCACTTCCCGCACCGCACTACTCTCTTCGTGGAATCTATTATACTAGATCTTTACAGACATCCAGTAATGCATCAGTCAATTCCACCTGCGCCCAGGCCCCCCCCCGGGCTGACCCCCGGGCATTAGCATTTTTTTTGCCTTGGATGGCAAATTCCCGGGGGTGGGGACTCTTGAGCTGTCAAATTCCCCGGGGTGGGGACGAAAAAAGAGAGCAAATGCCCCGTCCTCCGTCAAAACTGCAACATTTTTCATTGATCGCACAGACAAATAGTGCCGTTTTAAGCATTTTAATGTGCGATTTTTTCGGTTTAATTAACGTCTTCCTTTGTAATAGCGCGAGGATTCTAATTAACACTTCACGCCGCGACGGCATGCACCAGTTTTAATATGGTTTTAGTACTGGTATAAAATTATTGACATTAAAATTAATAGAGCGCTGTAAAGTTATATGTTATGAATAGTTTTATAAATAAGAAAGGATGTTCTTCAAATAATATCAACAGAAATTTGATTCAATAACCAAAAAACGTTGATTCACATCGATAGCTCCAATTTCGCTACGTAATGCTAGCTTGAGAAGCAATGAAGAAATGCATACATACATTTTAAATCGAGAACATGCCTTTACAACCCTCTACAATTTATTTCTGTCATTGACAAATGAGCCAATCTGCTTTTCTTCCAGTAAAACCTTATATTCTGATAGGAAACCGCGTGCGTGTCAA